GGGGGGGGGGGGTGGCTGCTGGGTGGCTCATTTTTGCCACCCTCCCCGGGTGGCTGATGGGTGGCTGCTCGTCGCCACCCACCCCACTTGTTAGGATATGATTGAGCCCCTTCTTGACCTCTTTGGCAAGCGCAACCTGCTTGGTGCGCCTGCCAGCATATCCAAGTCCGCGACACTTGCGGGACTTGAATTTGCACAATGTGCAGCTCACCGACGGCGTTCCACACAGCTCGCCGAGGTTTTGGCGCAACTCGCCGCAGTTCCGGCCAGTACACCAAGATGGAGGTCGCCATTCTTTTGTCTGGCTTTGTTGGTCATCCGCTTGGGCAGGACGTTGTGGCTCAGTCATGGAGTACATTTTGCGGACGGTTGCTGGCTTCTTTTTTTTGGAGTCTCTTCGATCGAGCTGGAGCTCAACAGCTTCATTGACTGTGTTGCCGTTTCCATGTCCGCCTTTCTTGCGCCGCTCAATGTCTGGGTGCAGGTGTATGCTTTCTACTGGGCGGCTCGAAGGACAGCCTCAGCTTTGTGAGCAAAAGTGCTGCCTTGAGCGTGGACAATCGCGTTCCAAGGCTGCGCCTCAATGGCCACCTTCTGGCGAAGCAAGTTGGTCAGGTAGGAGTCTTTCAGATAACTTAGACCCCAAGCTCCATCAGGCGCCAATCAATTCTCCGCATGGTGTGGATGAGCTCATGCGCTCCATGGCATAGACATGCCCGCATCAGGCGTTGTCGAAGGTGTTCCACTTCGTGGACAAACTGGACTCTGTGCAAAATATTTCCCTGCGCCGAAGCGGGTAGATAAGGTGGCTCTGCAAATATACACCGAGATTTTATCTTTAATTTCTGTTATGGTTTGGCCGTACTTTGGCATGCCCGGCGCATTCATGATTGTGTCTGATTAATTTGCAGCAAAATGTCGACTTGTATTATAATTCGTCCCACACAGTCAAAATCACGATCCACGTTGAAAGAATTTGCGTACAAGCCGCAGAACGGTGACTAAATTCATGATTCTCTCACAAATGTGATGTTTTAAGGAGAACATAAAGACACCTCCGTGTACTTCTGCCGACGATGTCAACATTCTGCCATGATTTAAATTCAAAAGCAATTTGCAGAAACCTCGATACTCTAACGGCGATGTCTCGTTTGTAATAATGAAAGGCGGCCGATGGCTGACTCAGGACTTTGATTTTCGTAATTGTGCGACTTTGAGTCAACGTCGTAATCACGGCTCCGCCAAAACGCGCCCAGATGCCCGACGCAAAGCAGTATTCCCACGCACTAATCTTGTCAACAGCTATAAATCATGAATTATAATATACATTTTAACAGCATTGAGACTACGTGAGTGGCCCATTACCGGAACAGGCCTATTAGTGAAACGAATTTCCGACCGAGAGATTCATATCCCAAAAAGACGGGGGGGTGGCGAGGAGCAGCCACCCACCCCATTTGTTAGGATATGAACGTGTTCATGATTTTAGAAGCAACTTGGAGTAACTTAATTCAGTAACTCGCACGGAGTTTCTCGATCGATCGTGCTGCTTTTTATTTACAATTGCGACATTGCTCTTGCGTCATCTGTGATTTACGGCTTGAATCAGGCGGGTTCATCCGAAATCAGACTAACGTACAGCGCGGAATGGAATTTCTGATCCAGCCTTCGGCTGAAAAGTCTTGATGCGGCTTGGCCAGTTGTGAGCGCCATGGCTGGCTTGGGGCGTGCTGTTTTTTTGTTTTCTTGGAAACGTCTTGCTTCATGGCTTGAAGGTCTGGTCTCGGTCTGCCTTTGTTTCATGATTTTGTGCTTATCGGCGGGGTGGGGCGAGTGTGGAGGCTGGCGGGGGGATGCTGCACGATCCGGTTCATGCGACTTTCGGCCGCCGTTGCCGAAGCCGGAAGAAATTTCGAGCGCGCGCTTCCGATGCTGTTTGTCTCAGCCGCGCCTTTTTTTTTCCTCTCGAGGAGGCGGGATCACGAGACCTGAGTCTCGGCTTCATCCTCTTCCCCTCTTTCCCTCCTGCCTTGCATCTGTCTACTTCATCTGGATATCGCAAGGAGGAACATGTCCGCTGCGCCACCAGGCCGCGTACAAGCACCCGCGGGCTTCGACCCGGCCTCGTACGGCTCGGTGCTACCCGGAACGTCTTATCTGGAACGAACACGTTTGCAGAATGGCTCCATCGTCAGCACCAACGACGAGCCGCCTCTGGACGGTGACCATGACGAAGGTGGCAGTCAGCATACGTGGACCGATGATCAGGACGGCTCGTGGAACGGCGATGCAGAGTCGAGCATCCTGAGCGACTTTGCCTCGATCTTTCATCCCAACGAGTACATTGTGGCGCAGCAACGCCTCGACGATCTCGAGAGGCGCAGCGACATCGAGTCGTTGGACGAAGAGAGCATGCCCATCCTGCCGCCATCAGTAAGCAGCCGCAGACAATCAGCATCTGCCTTTTCGCATCGGCGTCCATCGGCGCTATCAAGCCGGCGACCCTCGTGGCTATCGCATCGCCGGCCGGGCCAGATCCCCGAGGAGGACGTGCTGCACGAGGGATCAGCGTGGTCCAAGGCACTCTCCGAGATCGCGGACGCGAGCGCCATCTCTCTACGCCATGCACTCGTAGATCCCTCGACATCTCCCGGCTCCAATCTCGGTCTGCTGTTGATCGCAGTGAGCCAGGTATCCTACTCGACCATGAACATGTTTGTCAAGCTGCTCGACGACCGCGAAGGCCAGCAAGAGACGCATCCCATCGGAGCACTCGAGATCGTCGGCGTAGAATGCTTCATCATCTGGATCGGTTCGATGCTCGCCATGCTTCTGGCAAAGACCGAGCATCCCCTGCTGGGTCCACCTGGAGCTCGAATGTTGCTGCTCTTCCGCGGCATGTTTGGCTTCGCCTCCACTCTGGCTCTCTACATCTCGCTGCATGCACTCTCGCTTTCCGATGCCACCGTGATCACCTTCCTATCGCCGTTGGCTACTGGCTTTCTGGCACACATCATGCTTCAGGAACCCTTTACTGTGCGCGAACGAGTCGCCGGCATCTTTTCGCTCGCAGGAGTTACATTGATCGCGCGGCCGTCGTTCCTGTTTGGCAACACTGGCGGACAAGGCGCACCCGAGGATGGCGATATCGACCTTCCTTCTCCCGGCTCGACATCCGAAGCCGCTCGGTTCGTCGGCATTCTAGTCGCTCTTAGCGGAGTCGTCTTTATGGCTGGCGCATGGGTGTGTCTGCGTCGAATCGGGAAGAAAGCCTCGACGTACCACTCCATCTCGTACTTTGCGCTGTGCAGCTGGGTTTCCAGCTTCGCCGCGATGCGCGCGCTCAACGAACCGTTTGTGATTCCGACGTCCAAGGTGTCGTTGGTGCTGCTGCTCGGGGTGGGACTGTTCAGTCTGTTGGCGCAGGTGTTCCAGACGCTCGGCCTGCAGAGGGAGTCGGCTGGTAGGGCGGCTACAATGTCGTACCTCCAGATCATCTTTGCGCTCGCATGGCAGTTGATGCTGTTTGGCTCGGTGCCCGACTGGGTCTCGATCGCAGGCAGTCTGGTCATCCTCGCCAGCGGAGCCTGGGTGGCGCTCAGCAAGGAAGGCGCCGCTCCCATGCACTGAATCCATCCCTTGCTACGATCATACCTTCTGCGTGCGTTTGCTGCTTCTATCCACGACGGTCATTGGTGCTTCTAGTCGCGCCAGCATATATACTTTTGCAAGCAACTCTAATGTACACTAAGCTATCGGCGTTGAACTGGTTGCGGCTCAGTTCTTGGGCGCATGTCCCTTTCTGGCGATGCGCAGACAGTCCTTCTCTAGCTGACCGCCGTCGTTCTGTGGGTTTCGGACGGTGAAGACCTGGATGTCGTTGTCGCGGAGGATGGTCTGGCTCTGGCATTGGACAAAGTCGTCTGGCTCGGCGACGCCCTGGAAGACTCTGCGGATGCGGAGCCTCACCTGGCCCTTTGCATTCGAGACCTCGTCCTGCAAGGCAGGCGGGAGCATGTCGCGAGGAAGGGTGAACGCGGCGCGCTTTTGGTTAAACTCGATGATGCGCTGCACGCACGGAAGGTTGCCCGACAGGCGCTCCGAGCATGGCTCCATTGTGGTGTACAGGTCCAGATCCAGCGTGGGGATGCGTGTTGTGCCCTTTGAGGACTGTGTGGGCGCAAAGTCGGCGACGAGCTTGTCGAGTGCACACTGTTCGGCGTGGGTGTTTCCGGGGAGCTCTCTGGAGAATCCGGTGGCGAGGACATGCGAGGATGCGGGAGCCGAGTCATCGCTCGTGACAGAAAGGACGCAGCCTACGCAAAAGGCAGTGTCGGTGGGTGGGGACTTGTCTGCCTCGTCCAGGGCTAGCTTCATGAGGACGTAGTGTCGCTGCAATCTGCCGACGTCGTTTTGGTCGTGATGGGCGGCTGAAGAGGAGGAGGAGGTAGGGACGGACGCTCTTCGCGCCTCCCACTCGCGTCGCCACGCGCCGTATTCTCCCTCGATGCCGCCGTCGGTCCACACGGCCCAGCTGTCCCTGATGCGGAAAGCGATGGCGATGGGATGGTCGAGCAGGATCTGACGAATGGGGGGCGAAGGATGGAGCTCGGGCAAGAGGATGTCGCTGAGCGTGGAGGAGCGCCTGCGCGGTTTGCGATGGCGAGCGGTTGCGTTGGCGGTAGCGCTTGCACGCGAAGTCGAGATGGGCTGTAGGAGTCGGTTTGCGCGAATGGCGAGCGGCGACGACGACTCCGAGACTGCAAGGGGCGCAGGCAGGCGGAGTGGCTTTCTAGGCAGATGTTCGGTAAAGTAGTAGTAGGCTGCGCCAAAAGTGAGCCCGATGGAAAGCCCGACGATGATTTGGAGCGGGGTGTGATAGTGTAGATGATGCCTCGAGTAGCAGGTCAGGATGGAGATGGCAGCGATGAGGAGCATGGCCAGATGGTGTTCGAATCTGCGCATCGAGTTGATGAGGGTGCGCGGCCTGAGGCTGGGCGGACGATTGAGGTAGAAGTGGGCGAGAAAGAATGCGGCGAAGAATCCGAGGAATTGGGAGTGGGAGGATGGCATGCCGTATCCTCCTCCGAGATGGTTGGTTGGCCGGGGCTGTTTGAAGAGACGCTTGAGCGCCCAGTTGAAACCCTCGCATGCGAGCTGTCCGATGAGCGCGTTGATGAAGGTGAGCTCGCGACGCAGCAGGATGATGGTGACGTAGGAGCAGAGGAGGAAGATCGGTGAGAGCGTTACGAGGGCGAGGATCTTTGCGAGAGGGTCCGAAGCATCGTCTTGCAAGGAGGAAAGGCAAGCGGTCAGTTAGTGTCATCACGCGACATGCAGAGAATGCGAAGATGGAGACGACCTACACTGGACGTGGGTGAGCCCGAGCGAAGCATAGTTGCTCGGGTCGATGGCGCTTGTGCCCTTGGCCATCTCGGCGAGAGGATGATGAGCAGCGGCGATGATGGTGGTGGTAGTAGTAGTGGGTGATGACGAGAGGATTCGGGTCAATCCCGCCAAATGAGAGCGGCGGAGGGTCCGAGCCACATTGCAGCCGCCTTTCACCTCCACAAAATCACAAAATCCTCACTCAGCGGCGGGACCTCCGAAAGAAAAGCGGCAAGAAAAAGACGCCCAAGAAATGCCGTCGCAAAAAAAAAGAGGCTCGCGGCTCGCGGCTCGCTGCTCGCTGCTCGCTGCCAGGGTTCAGTCGGAAGAGCCGTGCGGTGCCGCTCTTACTTTTTTTGGTGTTCGTTTCGGATCTCGGTCGGTGGAGCCGAAGGGTGGTTGGGCTTGATTTCCCACGCCTCAGCCAGTCTATCTTGGCCGCCGCACCGACTGCCTCCATCATATCACCGGGATCCATCGCCAGCGTCACGACTCTCTCCGGATCGCCATGCCCAAAAAGGGAAAGAAGGCCAATCGCCCCGCTCTGCAGCACCACAACAACGACTCGCTGCGTAGGGACATCGAGGCCGGACGCAATGCACCCGTGGACGGCGTCATCGATCCGTTTGCAGACGACAACAACAACGACGACGGCGCCTTCGACATTGCAGACGAGCTGCTCGCGGCATTAGACGAGCGTGACGCCGCCGCCGAGGCTGCTGAAAAGTTGTCTTCCAACAACCACTCGGGCGGCGGCTTGAGAGAAGCGGGCGGACGTCTGATCAGCGGCTTGCGGCACCACAACAACAACGATAACGACTCCGCCGCGCAACCGGGCACCAGCCCCACCCACAATCGCAAGTCGAGCATCCGCAAGCTGTTCGGAAGCAGCCCCAAGAGCCCCGAGTCGTCGGCCCCACTAGACGCCGCCGCACCCAAGAAGAAAGTCAGCCGCCAGCAGCAGCGCAAGGTAGGTCCGCTTTCGTCTCCTCGCTTCCCTCAACTCGTCACTGACTCTTTACACATCTGCACCGCGGTCAACAGGATCGTAAAGCCGCCGAGATCGCAGAAGTGCGTCGCCAGGCCGAGGAAGAAGTCAAGCTCGGCGCCAACAAGCCCGACGAAGCACAGATCGAGCGCCAGGGTATCACTGCCATGTGCTCGGCGCTCGGTCTCTCCATGCACGAAATCACTCCCGACGGTCATTGTCTCTACGCTGCCGTCGCCGACCAGCTCAACCTTCGCAAGAAGCTCACTCCTCCCACCGACTACAAGGCCGCACGCCGCGCCACCGCACAACAGATGCGCACCCACCCGGACGAATACAAACCCTTCATCTCGGACTCGGACGAACACATGGCGGGCATCATCAACCGCGAAGCCGGAACGCTCAACTCCGAGCAGGCGCAAGAGAGTGAGTCCTCACCGCCAACCCTTCCAACACCATAGCTTGGCTCACTGCGACTGACAGTTTGGACCGCAGAGTACTTTTTGGACTACTGCTCGGCGGTGGAGAATACAGGCGTGTGGGGAGGCCAGCCCGAGATCCTGGCGCTCTCCCGCGCATTCGGAACCCAGATCCACGTCATCCAGGCCGGCGTGCCCGTGCTCAAGGTCGGAGAGGGCGAATACGACGGCGAGCCGCTCACAATTTCGTACGTCGCCATCGTCCCAGCATCACCACAGCCACAGCAGACATGCTGATGCTTTCGTTTCGTGCCGTGCGCTTACAGATACCACCGCAGGATGTACGGCCTCGGCGAGGTAAGTTTCCACTTCGGCGAGTTCAGACGTATGGACGGCTGGGCTGACACTCGATTTGCGTGGGGAAACAGCATTACAACTCGCTCCGACCAGCACCGCCTGCCTAGCGCAAAGACTCGGCGACAGCAGAATCGACATATACACCCGCAAGCACGCAGAATGCACGAGCCTGCAACACGAGATCTTTGCTCACGAGCGCGGTTCTCAACGCAGCGGAGAGGCTTTCAGAGTGTGGAGCTTTCGCGCGACCAAGCGTCGAGTCTGCGGGAGTTGCAAGAAGGCGCAACACGCGCCCACGCTTAGTCTGCGGTGCGAGATGTGAACAGGGTTGCGACGAGAGGAAAGCGGCAGGTAAGAGCGGATGACGCTGGGCAATCTGGACAGCGGAAAGAGGGGTCAAAGCAGGAGGAGAGAAATGAGCTTTGCCGTGGCGTGGAGGGCAGAGAGTCGTGGAAAAGGGCCAAACGAACAGTGTATCGTTTCGCCGACAAGATTCGTATCCTGTCCGGGCGAGCATGGTTCAACGTCGGATCGTGTGTTAGCGGTGTTGACGAGAGTCATCGATCTCGTCCAACCTGCGGCATACAACTTGGTGCGGCGCAAGCAGAGTGACTCGGAGCAGGCATCCAACACCGCGTGCAAGAAGCTGTAGCCCTCACTCTGAAGCAGGTCAAGACTTTTGTTTTCACCTTTCCGCGCACCGAAAAGCCCGGCCAAGTGGCCCCACACCCGCACACTCGCACACGAGCCGCACAATCCACAAGCACTCGTCTGCCAACAAGGTGCGTGGTGCACGCAGCGACACTGCCTGATCTCTGCGACTGGCCACACTCGATCCCACTGCCATCGCGCCAAACCGAGCCGCAGCATGCACCACACCCGCATCTGTTCGCACTCAATGGCACACTGCCACTGCACCACACCGAGCACGATCGGGTCAAAACGTTGCGATTGGAGCCAAGAGGGTACGACGCGAAAAAAAAAGGAACGGGAACCCGGGAAGAAGGAGAAGAAAAGATGCAGGGGGATGATGTGAGGATGCGACGGAACGAACCGCAGCGAGCCGGCTGTATCGATGCAGCAGTCGAGAGTGTGTCGTCTAGGACTGCGCACTGAGCCGTGTTTTGGTTGTACGAGAATGCGATTCAGGGAAGAAAAACTTAGGCGGTGCCGTTCTCGATGGCGCGCGCGTAGTTCCTGAGAATCGAGTCGACGTCCTCCATGGTCTGCTCGCGCACGTCTGCGAGCTGCTTGATCTTGGCGGTGACCTCCTTGACCTGGTCCTCGGTGAGGTTGAGCTCGAGCTGCTCGCACCTCGACTTGACGGCGTTCCAGCCGGTGAGGCGGTGTCCGATGGAGACGTAGCGGCTCATGCCAAAGTCCTCGGGGCGGATGATCTCGTATGTGGACGGGTTGGCGAGGATGGCCTTGGCGTGGATGCCGGCCTTGTGGGTGAAGGCGCAGTAGCCGGTGACGTAGTTGTTGAAGGGCACCTGGATCTGGACCGCCTCGGCGACGAGGTTCTCGACCTCGCGCAGCGCCTTGAGGTTGTACTTGCTCATCACGTATTCGCGGTCGGCGGTGTACATGCGTGCGATGAAGCCGCCGAGCGAGGGGATGCCGTTGCGCTCGCCGATGCCGAGCACCGAGGTGTCTACGTGGGTGGCGCCGGCCTCGAGGGCGGTGTAGGCGTTGGCGATGGCGCAGCCGGTGTCGTTGTGGAAGTGGCACTCGATGTCGCAGCCGACGACGCCGCGGAGGGTGCGGACGAGGTCGTAGACCTGTCTTGGGTTTGCGACGCCGACGGTGTCTGCGATGCCGACGCGGTTGACGCCGACCTTGTCGACGGCCTGGTAGATGCTGAGCAGGTCGACGAGGTCGGAGCGGAAGGAGTCTTCGGTGGAGAAGCGGATCTCGATGCCCTTGGACTTGACAAACTGGATGACCTCGATGGCGGTCTTGGTGATGTAGGTCATGTCCTTGCCGTGCGAGAACTCGCGGAGGAACTTGGAGGTGCCCATGACGACGTCGACGCCGTCGACGCCCGTCTCTACGGCGATGCGGGCGTCGTCCATGTGGCAGCGGATGTGGGTGATGACTTTCGCCTTGAGGCCGAGCTTGCAGATGGCCTCGCAGTCCTTGCGCGACTGCTCGGAGGCGGCGGGGGAGGTGAGCTCGATGCAGTCGACGCCGAACTTGTCGAGCGCCTTGGCGATCTTGATCTTGGTCTCGGTGTCGAAGAAGGCGTTGGCGAACTGCTCGCCCTCGCGGAGGGTGGACTCGATGATCTTGAAGTTGGATACGTTGGAGAGGAAGTCCGAGTAGCGCGTGTTGAAGGGCTGTACGGAGCCTACGTTTCCGTTGTCTGCCGTGGCGAGGGCACCGTTGGCACCGTTGGCGGCGCCGTTGGTGTTGGGGGCCGAGGTGTCGATGGCGACATGGGTGTCGGGGGCGGTGCCGTTGACCTGCTGGATAGCGGAGGGTTCGGAGTGATCACACATGGTGGCTATTGCGGGAGAGGAGAGGAAAAGGGAAAGGGGTGGCTGATCGGAAGTGCAGCGATGATGGATGTGGGTGAGAAGGAGAAGCCCGACGTTTGTGATGCGCCCATGGTGACTGGCTGGGCTGCGGGCCTTCGCTTTGGGCAAAAATCACAACTTGACGGCACTGGAGCGGCGCACAATTTGTGACTCTGCGACTGCCAATCTCGGAGATTCGCCGAAGAATTGACTGCTCCAACAACGCTTTCAGCACGGCGGACTGGGGGAGATCAGGAAGAATTTCGCGAGTCACTGGCAAGCGGGCGAGCGGGCGGGCCAGCCGCTTTCGACTCGCAAGACATCACCTTTTTTTGCCCACGCCTCATTTGCGCCTCGTTCTGCCCTCTTTCTGGCTCTGAGTGGGGTCGGCTCTCATCCGAATGCATGGCTTCATTGTCACAGCTCAGCCCAGCGTCAATACTGTGGACAAGGCCGGTTCGCATGGTGTGGGAGCGACTCGACGGCGCTGCCGAGTGGACAGACGCCAACTGCCGTTTGAAAGCCGGTGCGGCCGGGGCGGGGCGAGGCGAGGCGAGTCACCCGCTCCTTCCCTCTGGCGCTGGGCCGCTTTTTGCCACAGACTGGAGCTGCAGGCCAAGACACGGAAAATTGGAAGAAAAGGAGAAAAAAAAAGTTTGTGCCCCACCGCCACCACGCCACTTGTCGTGCGAGTAGATTCCAACTTCTCTTCTCTCACATGCGGCCGCGCTGCACTCGGCGGTCATGCCTGCTGCCCGTCTGCATCATCCCGCTTGCTCCCTGCCCCCGCTCGCTCAAAATCGGGCAACGAACACCGATCGGGTCAGACAAACATCCGATTTCTATTCGCATCTACACATCACAGCCTCTCGCGACTAGAGCTCCTCACGACGAGCATGGGAGTGGGATCGCTCCTCGAGCGTCTGGCCGCTGCGAGGTCCGTGGATGCTCCTGAGGATGGGCTCGTTTTCGGCGTGCGACTCGACGTGCAGGGCGCGCTTGTCCGCGGCGGCGCGCGGAGGGATGACACGAGCGAGGCCGCCGTGGTAGTGTTCGAGCGCATCGGTAAAGGTGTTGAGCTTGTCGCCCCAGTTGTTGTACCAGCTGTAGTCCGAGCCGTTGTTGAGCTTGTGCGTGATCGTCGCCAGGTCGAGCTGCAGGAACGATGCGATCCACTCGCCGATCCACGTATTCTCGTGCGAGCCAATCACCGAAGCACGGCGCGCCTGGTATCGCTTGAGCTTCTCTCCACCCTGCTGAGGCTTGGCTTCGTGGTAGTAGAGTCCGACGCTAACACCAGAGTGACCGGTGGTGGACCAGCCCAAGTGAGCACGCCAGTTGACGATCGACGAGAGCCACACAGTGTAGGGGATCTGGTTCTTGAGCTTGGCCAGCTCCACGGCGCGATCCACCTCGCCATCCTGCACATCCTTGATGCCAAGCCCCTTGCTCACCACCTCATCCTTGATGTACGTGCGCAGCTCGGCGTCGGTCTTGTTGGTGGCGAGCCACTTGGCCGTCTGGGCTGCGAGGAACTCGGTCGAGTGCGTCGCGTTGAACAGCACATCCGGATACCAGCCGTAGAACGACTCTTCGTCCTCGCTCCTCTGCAGCCCCAGCGTCAGTCCTCCACACTCGTGGTCCGCCACGGAGAAGACCACCGTCTCGGGCTCGTGCGGGTTGCCCTCAGCGTTGGCGTCCACCCACTCCACCACCGCCTCCACCATCTCGTTGTACGCCAGGATGTCGTGGATGTGGCCGATGGGATCGTTGTTGTGCGCAGCATGGTCGATGCGGGCGCCCTCGATCATGATAAAGTACGGCTCGCCCGCATTGCGCAGGCCATTGAGCGCGGTGAGCGCCATCTCCTTGAGGCTCGGCTCGGCCGTAGCGTTGCGGTCGATCTCGTACGCCATGTGCGACGAGGTGAAGAGCGCCATGGAAGGCAGCTTCAACGCCTGCCCGCCCTGGAGCGCATCAAACTCGCTGCGGTTGTTGACCACGTTGAATCCGTTCTTCTTGGCTTCTTCCACAAGGTTCCTGCCATCGGTACGGATACCGGGCTTGGTGGTGTTGGGGAGAAAGTGGCGCAGTCCACCGCCCCACAGGATGTCCGCCTGACGACCGAGCATGTAGTCACCGATCTGCTGGCTCGCGATCTCGTCCTCGGCATCACGGTCATCGATGTGCGCCGAGTAGGAGGCGGGGGTGGCGTGGGTGATCCTCGACGTCGTGACGAGCGCCGTGTTGTAGCCCTTGGCCTTGGCACCCTCGAGCACCGTTCCGCACGGCTTCTTGTCCGAGTCGACGCCGATGTAGGCATTGACGCTCTTGAGGCCGCACGAGTACGCCGTGGCGGAGGCGGCCGAGTCGGTGACGAGCGAGTCGGTCGAACGCGTGCGCACCTCGCCCACCAAGAGCTTGTCGAGCGGCAGCGTCACGTTCCACGCCTTGTGCTGGGCGCTCTGCATGTAGGCGCGTGCAAACGTCTCCGAGGCGGGACCAAAGCCGTCCGAGATGAGCTGGATGACGTTGGGCGCCTTTTTGGCATTCCACTTGCCGTTGTTGGGCGCAGCAGAAGCGGTGATGGCCAGGAGCACCACGGCTCCCAGCTGGACGAAGAGGCCTTGCAGCTGCATTGTGGCGGCACTAGAGGGTCGAGATGAAGGGTTGGGGTTGGTGTTGCAACAGCCGTCGTCGGGAAGGAAGGATGGTCTTTATAGTGCCTGCTTTGGCACTCGGCGGCTCGGAAGAAGCTCGTCCGCTCTGTGCACCGTGCACCACTATCTCGAACCGCCACATCGAAGCGGACAAAAGGCACGTTCCTCGTTGCGCACGACACAAGCGAGCGCGGGCGGCTAGGAACGGTGCACTTTGTGCTGTGTGCATTGCCGCACCGACGGTCCTTTGCTCGCCACCTGCCTTTCCATTGCTGGAAGACTTGTGTGGGCGAAGCGAGGGCGAGGCGTCGCTCGTGCTCCTCAGCTCGGTCTTGGCACTGCCGCTTGCACCAACCGAAGGCATCTTTTCGTATTTCAAATACACGCCGACGGGAGGCCGGCACGTTCCAGCTGGTTTGCATCCACCGCCGCCGCTTTGTCCGGGATGACTCAAAATGGAAGCCAGCCGTCGCTTTGCAAGCTTTTGGCAGGTCTCGGTCCAAGCGAGGATCTGTTGCCCACAAGCGAGGGTGTGGGCGGGTCTTGGCGTTGGAGGCACTTGGACGGGGCAAAGGCGAAATGCCAAGAAATGCAAAGGCCTGTCGAAGATGGCCACGTTCCATCCTTCGCATGAAAAAAAAAAAAAACGATGCGCAAAGGTGTGTCGTGTGCGGTCGTTGCTCAACTCAGCAGTTGGCTCTCACGTTCCTTCACCCGTTGCGCTTTGGGGGTGGCGTTGGCAAAGACACGTTCTCAAGCTCGGATCGGAAGACATCACTCCTCGCCCTCGCATCTCGTAACCCTATCCTCAATGGGCCCAACCTGGACACCTTTTATTGGCACACCGTCTGGCTCGCGATGATTTACGAATGGTTGAGCAAAGCGCACACGTGAAGGGCCTGCCGGTTCGAGTTTGAGCCAATCTTGCCATGCTTGTCACAGCGTATGCGCTCGCTTCCAAGTATGCACAGGCAGACCCTCGGGCTGTCGATGCTTCAAGTTTGCTCGTTCAAAGATTCGCGAGTATGAGCCGAGTGTCTGGACGAAGAAGGCCGCACTCGCTGTGGCCACCGAGTAGGAAGTGGTGGGCAAGTTTCGCACGCAACTCTGCATGCACGCTGGAGTCTCAAGTTGTACTTTGCCTCGTCTCGTCCTCACGCTTCTCCCAAGTCAAGCAGTGGCGGCGACCTTGACGTGTGCGCTGCGTTACTGATCGCTCGGTCTACGTCGCTTGTCCTGGCTTGCCGCACACTGGGCTTCCCACCGATGTTCAACACCTGCGTGACATGCTGTCGTCCCGATCCGTTGTGCGATGTCAATCCAAAGACTGGACATGCTCACGAGAGCCGGCTGCACAAAGTTGAGTCGCACGCAGGATGGAGGCGGGGATGGCTGTTGGTCTTGAGAGCCCCTCCGGAAGTGCACCACGGTGCAATGCAAGGCTGCTTGAATGCTTGAATCATACCTTTCACTCCCGCCCCAACCACAATAGCGGGCGCGAGAGCGCAAGCTACCGCGAGCCTAATCTTGCTCCAACGAGCAGCCTGTAGCTCCCAACACAACGCTCTTTGTGCGGTACGAGTTTGCGATGCTGCAGACAAGATGA